GGGACGACAACAAAAGAGATTGTGTTGAGTGTACCAAAGATAGCGGGTGAGCTGGGCTCTTCTGCCTTCCCGTATTTTTAGAGGGAAGGGAGTTATAACATGGTGCTGTGGGAGAGACTTCCAGACTTCCCACTGATGAATATGGGAATCCCATCTTCTCTTATGGATAGTCTTGGGCGTCATTCAGATGTTGCTGATTTGCTGCCCTGAGAAAAGACGGACGTTTATCTTGAAATAGCTGCTGCTGGTTTATAGGCATTGAGGGAGATTTAGAAAAAAAGTGGCTAAAATTTTTAAACCGAGAGAACGGGGCCACGTATGCTTGTAATTTTTGAACTCCTGGCTTTCTCTAGACAGCCTTGCGGTCCAAAAGACTACAAATCTGCACAGTTTTACTACAAAATACATATTTTATTGCATGAGAATGCAGCATTTCGCATCCAAGGTGGGGGGGGCGGGCGGGCCTGCGGCAAAATTACAAACCAGTCTGGACAACTTCCAGACCACCAGTGTTCCCTGTGTAGGGTTTTTCCTCTTTTGCTGGTATCAAAGGGGACAGCCCTAGAATTAGGGAATAATATCTCGGAATATTTCCTTCCCCTCTCCAGCTTGACATGCTTGCTTTCTCTGTGCGGGGAATATTTCTGTTTTGTACAGAGCAGTGTTTGGCTGTGCGCGCGTCTGTCTGCGAGTTGACACGCCTTTGACAGTGGTGGCGAGAAGATTACAGGCTCCATTATCCTCATGCTGAATGGAATTTAATGGGGGTTGTAGTCTGACTGGCAGCCGCGAGGCTAGGGAAAACCTGCCTTGTGCTAAGTCTGTTTTTGTTAATTGATTAGAAATGTAGAAATCTATAGCCGAAGAGCAGTGTGGTAACCCAGATGTCCTATATATACTGTACCATCAATATGCTTCTCCAGCTTCAAAAAGTATGATGATCTTGCTAGATTAGAAAAACTAAATGTTTTGTATTATCCGGACCTCTTCCCACAACCTATTTATTCATTTAAAATATTTCACTTTTTGTTGTTGTTGCAAAACAGGTATTTGAGATGGCTGAGAGTACTTGAGCATTAATACAGAATGAAGCAGGATTGTAAGGTGGTGGTTGGGTTTTTTTTAAAGGCAGTGTTGACATATGAAGGATTGAGGGTGGGAGTCGTGGAGGAAATTTTCTCCCCACCTCCTGATGGTTCATAGGAGAAGGAAAGGCCAACCAAAATATCCTGCCTAACAGGATGTGCCATGTAGCCTTCTCTTCAGCGCTGAGAAGAAGGGCGCGGGGGTGGAGACCATCCCTCAGGAAGGCTCCAGCTGTAGATTCTTGCTTAGATAGCGGGTTGGACTAGATGACCCCTTAAGACCCCTTTCAATTCTACAGTTCTCGTTCTTCTTGTTGTTATGTATCATCAAGTTGCCTCCGATCTATGGCAGCCATATGAATGAGCCCTCTCCAAAATGCCCTGTCCTTAGCTCTTGTAGACTCAAGCCTGTGGCTTCCTTTAAGGAGTCTGTCCATCTCGTGTTTAGTCTTCCTCTTTTCCTGCTACCTTCTACCTTTCCCAGCATTATTGTTCTTTTCCAGAGAATCCTGCTTTTTCATGATGTGCCCCAAGGAAGACAGCTTCAGTTTTTGCCTTCATGTTCAGCCTTGATTTAATGTAGGACCCGCTTGTTTGTTTTCCTGGCAGTCCAGCGAAGGATTGAGGGTGGGAGTCGTGGAGGAAATTTTCTCCCCACCTCCTGATGGTTCATAGGAGAAGGAAAGGCCAACCAAAATATCCTGCCTGACAGGATGTGCCATGTAGCCTTCTCTTCAGCGCTGAGAAGAAGGGCGCGGGGGTGGAGACCATCCCTCAGGAAGGCTCCAGCTGTAGATTCTTGCTTAGATAGCGGGTTGGACTAGATGACCCCTTAAGACCCCTTTCAATTCTACAGTTCTCGTTCTTCTTGTTGTTATGTATCATCAAGTTGCCTCCGATCTATGGCAGCCATATGAATGAGCCCTCTCCAAAATGCCCTGTCCTTAGCTCTTGTAGACTCAAGCCTGTGGCTTCCTTTAAGGAGTCTGTCCATCTCGTGTTTAGTCTTCCTCTTTTCCTGCTACCTTCTACCTTTCCCAGCATTATTGTTCTTTTCCAGAGAATCCTGCTTTTTCATGATGTGCCCCAAGGAAGACAGCTTCAGTTTTTGCCTTCATGTTCAGCCTTGATTTAATGTAGGACCCGCTTGTTTGTTTTCCTGGCAGTCCAGAGTATCTGCAAAAATCTCCTCCAGCACCACATTTCAAACAAATCCACTTTTCCCCTGTCAGCTTTTTTTTTCTGTCTAGCTTTCACACCCTTACAATGGTGATCGGAAATTCCAAAGTACCGTATTTTTCGCTCCATAAGACGCACCTTTCCATAAGACGCACCAATTTTTTAGGAGAAGAAAACAGGAAAATATAATCTGTTTTCTTCGCTCCATAAGACGCACAGACTTTCCTCCACCCCTGTTTTGTGAGAAAAAAGTGCGTCTTATGGTGCGAAAAATACGGTATATACCGTACAAGAGTTTACTTCTATGTTTAAGAATGCTTTCCATCAATACCTCTGGGAAGCTCAAAAATGGGTCCTGTATCTAGCATGCAAATTGTTATTCCAGTAGTCAGACAGGAGGGGGATATCATTTATAAAAATTCCAGTATTTGTGATCTCCTGGGTGGGGGGGGGGTAGGAAGGCTCAGTTGAAGAGTTGTAAATAGGGGGAAAGTTTGGGATAAAGGAATACCCCCCATCTTGAATATAAAGGGAACCGTCTTGTGATTTCAGACCTAAGCTACTGCCTTTTTCAGAATAATGTTGAGCCCATTTCGCACCTAACAGATCTTAAGAGGGCATGGGATTGCCGTTGAGTGCTTCTTTGACGAGGCCGTGCGCTTAGGAGCGCATCAGTTGTTTCTCTCCCGCATTTCTTCTTTTCGTTTTGAACAAAAAAACATACAACCCCACCCCCCCAAAAAAAACCCAAATGAAAAATCCCCCACTGTACCAGGCTGCCGGTTTAAAAGGAAGTGACGATGAGGATAATCGTAGCACAAAAAATGTCTAATGTGCTTGGAAATAAACCATCAGGGCTCTATAATCATGTTAAGATAGTATGGTTCAAAATGGGGAGGTGGGGGAGAGAAGGGAAACATATCAATAAACTTCGGGCCGACCTGCTTTCGAAACCAGCTCCTGTTTCTGATTTCTACCTTGTGAGGAATTCTCACACCTTGGATAATTCCATAAAAAAAATTACTCCACTTATTATTATTTTTATTACAGCCCACCTTTAAATATCTGCCGATACAAGTGTCAAGAAAAACCCAGAACAAAAGCTGTGTTGTGCCATGGCATCAGAGAGCAAAGAAAATATTCTTGGGAAATTTCATGCTGTTAAATCTCCATAGATTTACACTTTTATCCAGTCAAATTAATGCAAAACCCCCCCAACGCAAGGGTTTGGATTTTGAAAACTTGGGAGGAGTTCATTTCCTAATAGTAATTATTGGTTTTACATTATTTTTTCACAGGGGAGCTGATCACAGCCGCCTATGAGCTTGGAGTAAGTATTAGTTTTATTGTTTAATCAATGCTCTCATTAACAGTTTTAGGAATTAAGGAAGTTTAATTAAGCATGGAGTTAAAGTAGATTAATTTATTTTCAAACCACAGTTTTTGCTAACTTATAAGTACAGCACGCGACAATTTACTCCAAGTTTTAAATCCAATTAAACTAAATTATAAAGCAACGGCTTTACAGTATATACAGTAGCTGGCTTATTATCAACCCAAATTTTTGTATAAGCTGGGGAGAATAAAATAAATCGGGTTAACAATTTTAATAAGTTTTATTATTTAATAAACTTTATTATGGTGCGTGATCCCCTTTAGGCGAGACCTTAAGGACTGTCATCGCAGTGGTAATCCGATAGCAGTGTGGTCTTTCAACTTGCGAACCAATAAAACAGTTCCGAATGGGCTCCCTTCTTGTTTTTTTTTTTTAATTACGTGAAAAAAAAGGAAACCCGGACTTTTGAATGACCCTAATAGACTCTGAACCCAAACTTCAAGCCGTTTAAGGGAACTATAGCGACGGCTGTCAGGGCTTTTTTTCTTGGCGCGAGATGCTCGCCAAATCCACTCAAGGAAATGTTTGTTTGCAAAGTTTAGAAATTGACACTCGAGAAAAAAAAGAGAAGCGAATTGAAAAATGCCTTTCTTTGTTGTATGCATGTTTCTTTCTTTTTTCCCCCGAAAGACCGTGCCCTAGCTTTGGAGGGTTTATGACCGAGCTAATCAGGGAGTCGTTTCTCAATTAAACTGCCTTTGTGACATCTTAATGCTGTCTCTTGGTGGCTTCCTCTAGGTCGCTCATCCCCCCGGCTACCCGCTATTCACTCTTCTGGCTAAATTGGCCATCGTGCTGGTCCCTTTCGGTTCCGTCGCCCACCGCGTCCACCTCCTCTGTGCATTTCTGGGGGCAGCTGCGGCATCGCTTCTGTTTTACACGGTGGTCAGGTAAAGTGGAGGCTGTCCCGTCTCCCCCCCCCAAACCCCTCCTCCCACTCATTTTCTGCCCTAAAACGTCTCCAGCTCTGGTTAGATCCGAACGATCAAGGATGCTCTTTTGTACTCTAAAATACAACCACGGATAGCCGATCCTTACAGACCGTGCCTACCGTGCCTAACTAAAGCAGAAGCCGTTCAAAGGTTTCCTGAATGTGTGGGTCTTTCTGTTTTGGGGTGGTGGGGAAGGGTGTGACTTAGGGCAGCAAACGCAATGAAATTCTTTTGTAGCATCACTAGCAAAATCTTATTTGGCATAAGCCTTCACGGACCGAGGGATTGTGCTGTGATGAAGTGAGCGGCAGCCCAGGAGAGGTTCTGCTGAATAAGCCCTGTTCCTCTGTAAAGAGATGTTGGGGTAACTTTAGCAGGTCTTGTGTGTGTGTGTGTGTGTGTGTGTGTGTGTGTGTGAATTTTCCACCCTGGGATCCTTTTCGGGGGGCACATGGACCACGGAAGAGTGTGTTGGGGGGCAGGGGAGGTTACCTCTGGTTTGAAAAAAAGGCATTGGGGGAGTTAGGGCGGCGGGGGCCCTACAATCTATTTGATAGATAAATCATAAAATTGTAGTGGTGGAAGGGATCCGAGGGGTCATCTAGTCTAGCCCCCTGCCAATGCAGGAAATCCATGCCTTAAAGCATCTCTGATAGTTAGCCATCCAGACTTTGCTTTAAAATCTGCCATGCGGTCAGTTCCATTGTCAAATGGCTCTCACTGTCAGGAAGTACAAGGAAGGACATTTTGACTAAACATTAGGAAGAACTTGTCAGCTATACGAAACATTTGACAATGGAATCAACTGCCTCATGGGGCTGTTGGCTGTCCTGTGCTGGAAATTTTTAACCAGACATTGGGTGGTCACCTGTCAGAGATGCTTTGGCTGCGGGTTTCCTATCCTGGCAGGTAAGTGGCTGAACTGGACGACCTTTGGCTTCCCTTCTAGTTCTACAGTTCCATGAAGCTTAACTCCTAGAGTCATCTGAGATGACTCATTGAGCCATATGACTGGGAGCCATATTCCACACACTCCTTCTGGCTTAAGGTCACAAGATTTTTTTTCAGGTAATTCAGATCTAAAGGTAAAGGTTCCCCTTGATATTGAGTCCAGTTGTGTCCGACTCTAGGGACGATGCTCATCCCCGTTTCCAACCCTTAGAGCCAGCATTTGTCTGAAGATAGTTTCCATTGTCATATGGCCAGCGCGACTAGACACAGAACACCATGACCTTCCCACCAAGGTGGTACCTATTTATCTACTCGCGTTTTTACATGCTTTCGAACGGCTAAGTTGGCAGGAGCTGGGACAAGCGACGGGAGCTCCCTCCGTCGTGTGGGTTTGATCTCAAGACGGCTGGTCTTCTGACCTTGCAGCACAGAGGCTTCTGCGGTATAACCTGCAGCGTCTAAAACAGGACCCCCAACTCTTAAAACCTCCTGCTTTTTTTGAGCAACCTATTGCTTTGGAAGTTGAAAGGGAATTTTAAAAGCAGTTTGTATATACTGCGTCGAGATAGTTCAGCTTTTAAAAGGAGGAAGTTAAAGTCAAAAGAGGCTACATTCCTGTTTCCTGCATGAGTGTCAGCTGATCCCTGCCTAAATCAAGAGTGGAGGAAGTGTGCTCCACCCGCGTCCTAATGATAGTAGCTCTTTATTCTGGATTCCCATCCTGACGAGCAATTCCTGAGGAATTGGAAATGGGAGACTGCTTCCTCAGAGAAGCTCCCTTTATCCTTGCTGATTTATTTGTTTAAAATATTTTTACCCTGCCTTTCTCCTTGAAAAGGACCCGAGGCATTTTACAATATTGCAGGCATTTAAAGCTGTCAACAAGTATACAATGATTGTTTACATTATTCAAAGCCAATATTTAAAGTGGTTTAAAGGTTGGTAAGATACTATGGTCAAGAGTAACAGGTTTAAGGAAAGCATTGTGGCAGGCGCATGGAAATACTTTGAATTTCCACATACAGTGGTGCCTCGCTTAACGATTACCTCATTAAATGACAAATCCGCTTGCAGCCTATTGCTTTGGAAGTTGAAAGGGAATTTTAAAAGCAGTTTGTATATACTGCGTCGAGATAGTTCAGCTTTTAAAAGGAGGAAGTTAAAGTCAAAAAAGGCTACATTCCTGTTTCTTGCATGAGTGTCACCTGATCCCTGCCTAAATCAAGAGCGGAGGAAGTGTGCTCCACCTGCGTGCTTATGATAGTAGCTCTTTATTCTGGATTCCCATCCTGACGAGCATTGAGGAATTGGAAACGGGAGACTGCTTCCTCAGAGAAGCTCCCTTTATCCTTGCTGATTTATTTGTTTAAAATATTTTTACCCTGCCTTTCTCCTTGAAAAGGACCCGAGGCGGTTTACAATATTGCAAGTATTTAAAGCTGTCAACAACAAGTATACAATGATTGTTTACACCGTTCAAAGCCAATATTTAAAGTGGTTTAAAGGTTGGTAAGATACTATGGTCAAGAGTAACAGGTTTAAGGAAAGCATTGTGGCAGGTGCATGGAAATACTCACATGGAATTTCCACATACAGTGGTGCCTCGCTTAACGATTACCTCATTAAACGACGAATCTGCTTGACGATGAGGGTTTTGCGATCTCAAAATGATGTTTTAATGGGCAAAATTCGCTTCCCGACAATCGGTTCCCTGCTTCGGGAACCGATTCTTTGCATTACGACAATCAAAACAGCTGATTGTCGGGTTTCAAGATGGCCGCCGGCTGTAGAAAATGGCTCCCCGCGGTATTAGGGATGGATTTCTCGTATTATAGGCACCAGAAAATGGACGCCATAAGGAGGATCTTCACTGAACGTACAAAGGAATATAGGGTTTCTGTCCTTTTCAGAGACATGTACAGTGGTGCCCCGCTTAACGATTGCCTCGTTAAATGATAAAACCGCTTTACGATGAGGTTTTTGCGATCTCAAAATGATGTTTTAATGGGCAAAATTCGCTTCCCGACAATCGGTTCCCTGCTTCGGGAACCGATTCTTTGCATTACGACAATCAAAACAGCTGATTGTCGGGTTTCAAGATGGCTGCCTGCTGTGTAAAATGGCTCCCCGCTGTGCTTTAGGACGGATTTTTCACTGCACAGGCATCGGAAAATGGCCGCCCTAAGGAGGATCTGAGGTATTTCGCCCATTGGAACGCATTGAACCGGTTTTCAGTGCATTTGAATGGCCTTTTTTATTTTGCTTGACGAGGTTTTCGCTCTACAGCAATTTCGCTGGAACGGATTATCCTCGTCAAGCGAGGCACCACTGTATAGGATGCTTCCATGTTTATTTCAACCTTGGAACTAGGGCTAAGTGGAACGCTCCTTTTCATCTATAGAGGAAGGGAATTCTGGATGCACACGGAGGGAACCTGTAACTGTTTGGGAGGCAGAGGTGCACCAAGGTCATACACACCTGGTCTGTGTGGTATATGCGCAGCCATGGCACAACGCACACACACACGCGCACCCCCCCAAGTGGAACGCTCCTTTTCATCTATAGAGGAAGGGAATTCTGGATGCACACGGAGGGAACCTGTAACTGTTTGGGAGGCAGAGGTGCACCAAGGTCATACACACCTGGTCTGTGTGGTATATGCGCAGCCATGGCACAACGCACACACACACGCGCACCCCCCCCCCAGTTAAATACAAACATGTCTATGCAAGCATGCAAGAGTAAAGGATTTATTTGGCTAGGGTAGGAAGAACCAGCGAGACCCCTAAAAAACTAATACAATGTGAAGGGATTCATTCATTCATTCATTCCATTTATACCCCGCCTATCTGGTCATTGCGACCACTCTTTGTTTGACAATCTTTGTGTGTGTTTCTGTTCGATGGCTTCAAGCCAGAACTGACTGACAGCGACCCTAATAAAGCTTTCAAGGTGAGTGAGATATTTAAGGATTGGTTTTTACCAGTTCCACTCCCCCCCCCCGTGAGTTTCCATGGCCCAGTGAGGATTCGAACTCTGTTCTCCAGAACCCTAGTCCATCACTGTATCCACTATACCACACCGGGAGTCCTTCATCACCCTTGCTGGCACTCAAGATGTGCACGTTTGTGTTTTGGGGCTACAGCTTCCAGAATTCTGTAGGCTAGTGGTTCCCAACCTTGGATAAACCCGGGTGTTCTTGGACTGCAACTCCCAGAACCCCTGGTCGGCGCAGCTGGTAGTGAAGGCTTCTGGGAGTTGCAGTCCAAGAACACCTGGGTTTACCTGAGGTTGGGAGCCACTGGTTCAGGCAAACAAATCAGCACACCTCTAGTGACCATGGAAGATACTCTGCCTTCCATTGGACTTATCCTTTTAGATACCCTCACCCCAAAATAATTCTGTTGCTCCTGTGAAACGTGGGTTTCTCTCAGTATGGCAATACTTCCCTCTTGTCTCTAAGTTTTGACACCTCAGCTCTAGAAAGTCACGTGCACGTTCAGCGCTTGTATGGGCCACGTTTCTCAGGAGTTGGAAGACTGGTGGAGTTGTACGTGGCAGCCACAGCTGTTCACAAGGTCAGAGGAGAGCAAGAAGGATGATCATAGGTCTGGAAACCAAGCCTTAGGAGGAAAGACTGAAAAGACTGGGCCCTTTTGGCCTTGAGAAAAGATCGAGGGGAGATAGGACAGCACTTTTCAGGTGGTTGAAAAGAAGTCATACAGAGGAGTGGGCAGGATCTGTTCATGGTTGAAAAGAAGTCATACAGAGGACGGGCAGGATCTGTTCTTGATCATCCCAGAGTGCAGGACGTGTCAAAATGGGCTGAAGGAAGCTTGATTTAGTCTGAATATCAGGAAAAACTTTCTTCACTGTTAGAGCAGTACAGCAATGGAACCGATGACCTCAGGAGGTGGTGAGCGCTCCAACGCTGGAGATAGTTAAGAGAAAATTGGACAACCCTCTGTCAGATCTGCTTTGATTTGGATTCCTGCCTTGAAGAGGGG